TTTAGAGCTGTGTGAATCGTGCTGTATGAAGCGCGTACGGCATTCATATGAAGCGCGCATCGAATTATGCGCCAAAGTGCGCGTCGAATTCCGCGGCTACTTGTGCGACAAAGCGCGCGCTGAATCCCGCGGCTAATTGTACATTGAATTGTGCATCGAATTGCGCATTTAGATCTGTGTGAATCGTGCTGTATGAAGCGCGTACGGCATTCATATGAAGCGCGCATCGAATTATGCGCCAAAGTGCGCGTCGAATTCCGCGGCTACTTGTACGTTGAATTGCGCGTCGAATTGCGTGTTTAGAGCTGTGCGAATCGCGCCGTATGAAGCGCGTACGGCATTCATTCCGACGCGGAAGCGCGTTTTGAAGCGCGCATCGAATTGTGGTCCTATATGTTTATATGTGCATATGAAGCATATGAAACATAGCATATGAAGCATACGAAGAAAAAAAAAAGAGCGCAAAAAAAAGACGCGCGCGCGCCGGGGATTGAACCGGCGCGAGGTGGACAGATGGACAGACGGACGGACGGCGATTCGGCCCAAGGCCTCCGCTAGATAGACTACTCCGTAGTCGCTACGGCTACAGACGGACGCCGGATCGGCCTAAGGCCTCCGCTTTTCTACTTCGTAGGAGCTACGGCGACAGACGGACGCCGGATCGGCCTAAGGCCTCCGCTTTCCTACTTCGTAGGAGCTACGGCGACGGACTAGAGCGCGCTGTTCGCGCGAGAGGGCCGTAGCTCCGTCGTTGAATCGCGCGGGCCACTATATGCTGTTTTGCTGAGGGCCGTATCGGTCACACACACAACACAACAAGTATATATATATACGAAGGCGGAAGGAGGCTGAGCTTGCAGAGGGTAGCCCGCGCTGAAGCGCTCGCGCGGGACTCGAACCCGCAGGGGGCTCCACACAGACATTGATGGGCAGTTCCCCATTCCTTCCCGTAGGGAGCGAGCGTGTCGTCCGGGGTATTCCCCTTACCCCGGACGCTGTCATTTAACGCCGTACAGTGGCGGGTCGTGGCTTCAACTGTCAACTAGCCTTGTCAACTGTCAACTAGCGGGTCCAGCGGGTTTCCAACTGGCGTGCATGCTGGAACTCGGTGGTGTACCGCTGCTCCGTTTCGCGTGCTGCCTGCTTCAGCAGGCGCAGGTTGGCGGCCAGATCCGGCTCGAGCTTGGTTGCGCTGAGGAATTGTTTGATGACCTTCTTGCGCTCGTGTGGCGTGGTATAAAGTGGACGTAGCAGACGGACGTGGTCCAACGTCTTAAAGCGGGTCAGCAGCACATACAGGGTGGCACGCTTGATGCCGTTGGGTGGGACAGCAAGATCCACCAGCCAGCATTCATCTTTGAAGCTGCGGCCTTGTACGAAGTAATCGGTGACCGCCTGGCGGTCGCCGAGCGGTACGTTGAGGCGCCGGACCTGCTTTGTGAGGGTGCCACACCCGGGGGCGGGCATCTCCACCTCGGCAATGCAAGACGCCCGGGGTGACAGGATGAAGGCGCCACCCCTGCTGGCGTAGTCTGCAAGGCCCCGCAGCACGGTGTCGGGGATATGGCCGTTTATAGGCCGCACAATGACGGCCGCTGGAAGGTACTTGAGCCGGCGGTAGGGGCCGTGGCCGTCATCTGCTGGCTCGCGGCCATCCTCAAGCAGGCCGCAGGCTTCCACCTCGTTGTTGTGACTCGCCCCGGCATCGGCAGCCGTCGTATCAAGGAGGATGTATCGGGCGCCATGGTAGTACCACGTGTCGGCGGTGGTGTGGCCAAAGTCGTAATCCTTTATTCGCATCGCAACTGCTTTCTCCACGTGTGTCAGGGCCGGCTCTACAGCGGCGCCGCGCTTCTGGACAGGGACGTGGTCCGCATTCCACACCACGAGGCGCTGGTTCTTGCGCTGTGCTTCCAGCATTATGAGGCGGGTGTTGAGCGTGTGGCGTGGTTCGTTCCTCTGCAGCACGACGCGCGGCTCGAGGTGCGCTAGGTCGGCTAAGTCGACGACGGCGCGGCTGTTGAGGTCGTCAACCATTTCGGCTATGCGCTGCTCTGTGGCTGGCTCACCGCCGAACATAGAGGCGTACTCTGTCAGGCGACGACCAGAGGGACTGCTGTCCTGGCGCTGCTGCTTCTCCAGCAAGAAGACGGTCTTAGCCAGGGATCGGTAAACCCGGAAGCCCTCGAGTATGCAGCTCTGAGCCTGTGGGACGGCCCGGGGCCGGCGTGCTGCTACTTCGGGTTGCTGCTGACCGCCTTGGGATCCAGCAGCGGCCTCGTTAGGGTCGCCATCGTTGTCCTCCTCTCCGTGCAGAGGCTGTGCGGCCGGGACGGAGGGCGAGAACTGGGGGTTGCATTCTACATCAGCGGCGTACCGGTAGAGGGGCGGCCCACCTGGCTTCGGGTGTTGGAACTCGTCGCCTGTGTTGGCGCTGGGGCGGCCGCTGAAGATGGTGGCTGCAGGGTGGTCACGAGCGAGATGCGACGGCGGCAACAGGTGACGAGTGCAAGACTGGTTGCATGCGCCCAGATGGTCCAGGCTGTTCATACCGATCTCGTCAATGATGAGCGCACCATCGCCGACATTGCGATGCACCTGTAGGCTGGCTGCGCTGCCTTTTCTGACGCTTTCCGCTCGGTTGCTGCCAGCAGATAGGGCGAACATTGCGTGGGTAGAGAGGCTGCGATGCACCGGCGTGTTGAATGCAACTGCAGCAGCCCATGAGTAGGCACAGGTGGCCGCCCAGTGCGGGCAGCCATGCTGGAAAGTGTACCAGAGGAGCGCTTGTACAAACTGGGTCTTTCCGGTACCGGGCTTGCCCTCCACAAGCATCTGCGGCGGGTCGCCAGGGTTGGGCTCATCACGGCGATCGAAGTACTGAGCCATGAGCAT